GGCGGCGGCGGCGGCCGGGCGGCCTCGGCCACCCGGTAATCGCATCTTTTCTCGGCGTCTTGTCTGCAGAGGGAGCACTATGTCCGCGGAAGTCCCCGAGGCAGCCTCCGCGGAGGAGCAGAAGGTGAGTGTGTGTGCGTGGGGAGCGGGCCCGGGCCTGGCGGGCGGCCTGCTGCAGCCGCGTGCGGAGGGGCGCGCCTGGAGCCTGTGTGTGCCCTTCTGTCTCGGCTGGAGGGCACAACGCTCCAGAATTGGCTTCCCGCAATAACGTTAGCGCCAGCGAGCTGGGAGTTTGAACATTCCGCACGCCTTTCCTGAAGCAGGCCTTTTCTAACGTCTCAGTGTGTCGCGTTTTTCCTTAATCACGTAAATATACGTGAGAGCCCAGGATTCGGTCATTATGCCTGGGACCTAACGATTTTCTGTGAGCCTCACTTGCTTGAGAAGTTTTATTCGTCCCTTGAAGAACTTTGTAGCTAGCTCCTGGATTGGGATTTCGGGTCAGCCCTGGTGAGCCGAGTAACGACAGTCAGTTACAAAACTCTTGAGCCTTCCATTTCTTCTCCTGTAAAGTCAGATTAAAGTACTTGGTACATCCGGCTGTTGAGAGGCCTAAAGGAGGTGAGTAACGGCTAGTGTTTAGCGCAGTGTGTGCTCAAAAATGTTAGCCAGCGGATTCACTGATGGTACTTCACTAAAAATCGAAAGGTTGGAATTTAAAATTTTTTACTAATTTAGTTGATCAGGTTTTTCTTGGAAATATAGGAATCTTTTGTAAACTTACTTGTATCTTCCTGATGTAGGGAAATATGCCAGGAATGGTTCAAATTATGAATATAAATGCTTTATATTTATCTAGGCTAGTATTTACCCCCTTGCATTATAATTATTTCTGCAGCCCGACCTCCTGGGTACATATGACTGGCTGAGAAATGAGAAAGTTCGATGGAATCTTGTTTTCTAAATTGTTTATGGAGAGTTACCAACAGCTTTTCTTAAGTCAGACTGTGTTATCATAAATAGGATTTGGTCTAATACTTGGACTTTGTAAGAGTTTCTGCTTAATATTGCACCCATGTTCCTAGTCAGGTTGGAAATTGGGTTATTGTTTTAAATCCATTCCAAATGTTAACCATATTAACTTTTCCTGAGTTGGATGGTTTTGTTAGGATATTACCTGTGAAACAGAAAAAGAAAACAAATAGCATTAATAATAAGCAAAGTAACCACATTAATCAGGAATATTCCAGTAAAAACTACTGGATATTTTTCACCCTTTGCAAAAAAAAAAGAGTGATCTTTTGGGGCAAAAATAGTTTAACGATTACAGTCTTTACAGTAGTATTAAATATCACCTGTTTATTGTAAAACATTTATCATGGTGTTCGTTATTGCTTGGGATTTAGGAACCCAGAAAAATAACAAACCCATGTCTACAGTGGCTTGTAAACCCTGAAATCAAACTCACTTTGCCTTCTGGTGCACACTAGTGTGCTGTATAGTTTAATAAGATTTGTTAGTATGTTGTCGAAGTTGGAAGTGTTGATTTCTAGAGTGTAAATGCTTTTACTTAGAACAGCCTAACATGTCTTTTAACAATATTAAGTATAGCTTGAATGTTTTCTCTTAATGAGTGTCTAAATAAAAAATAAAAATTAATTTATTTCAGGTCCTTCGGTTTTAGCTGCTGTTATTAATACCAACCAAAGTGTGTTAGGAATATAATGTCCCTTCGTGAATTGAGGATTGGCTGTAGATGTTAAATGCCTGTGACATAGATACTGTTCCTAAATAGGAGGAAAATGTGCAAAGTCACTTCTGTGTTCCTGAGAGCCAATTCACCTGTTTCTTCTGTTTGGCAGAACAGTTAGATGAATGAAGTTAAAAATTGGGTTATTGTCTGTGCACTTAGTTCACATAATTAAAACCAAAGTATTCAGCTAAAATCCTTTATAGTTCCATGGTAGGTTAGCCTATTGCCTTTGAAATATTAATATAAATTGCTGCACCTTGCATGAAGTAATAGCTAAGTCACTGTTTCTCTACCTTGAGTATTGTGTTCACCCTTATTAAGAAAATTGGATAGACCCCTATTTTTTGTTGGGCTATTAATTAAAATATGAATAAACATAAAAATAAATGTAAACTCTTATCTCAAGGTTTGTACCCCTTTAAAACTAAGACAAATACAAACAAAGCCAGTCTAAAAGTCTTAATTCAGTGAGACTGGCATTTTGCTGAAACTAAATTTATAATGTATTGAGAATATGGTAGCAATTGGTAAAGTGCAAGGGCTTTTTGAGTAGTGCCAGCTCATATTCCTCTTGGCCATGTGGTGGCTCATTTTTCCTTTTTAAGAGTAAGATGTGAGGTTATTTTCTAGAGTCACAGATATATTTACATTCTAAATTCAGCTCCATTCTTACAGGACAGTTGGAGTAGCCTGCTGAGTCTCTTATCAAATAAAAGCTCAAACAAGGAAGTCACGCAGCACTGCTTAGTTGGATATGAGATGGCAGTTCAGATGCTCAGAATATGCTTATATTTTTCTTTTAGGTTACCACTGAAGTGAAAACAAAACATTTAAAAGTTTTTAGCAGAGACCTAATGGGTCTGTCATCTGTGAATTCCATTTTTAATAACACTTAAGTTAAAAGTAGCATGTGCACTGGTCCTGGGGGTGAAAAGAGGCATGTGAGAACTTAAAAGAGATCATTTTAATTTCATTGTGAACAGTTTAAGGTCAAGGCCGCTGCTTCATGTCTTTTTTCCCATAGCACCTGGCATAGTGCTTGACTTTGTTCAGAAAATGTTGGTTGAACGAATTTTCGTCAAAACTTTTCGGATGAAACCATTACCAAACTACTATTCCAGTACAAATGACAATGCTAGTACAGACAGTACTGCAGTTTAAAAAGAGGGATAGACCATGGTAACCTTTGATTAGACCCTCTTAAGAAATCTGAACAAAACTAGAGGGATATATATATATATGTTGTAGCTTTTACTTTTTTTTTTTTTTTTTTAAGAAGATCTCAATAGCAAGTTTTCTAGAGCTTGTAAGATTTTTTTTTTTTTTGTCTTTTTTTGTGTCCGGCAACGGATCGCACCCCTCAGTGTCGCGCCCGTCCCGGGCCAGGACCGGCAACGGGATCGCAACCCTCGGTGTTGCTCCCACACCTCGCTCAGCCAGTGAGCGGGAACCGGTCTGTATGTGGGATCCGAACCCTCGGCGGGAGCGCCGCCGCGCTCTCAAGCGGCGCACTGTAGCAGTGCGCCACCGGGCCAGCCCCTAGAGCTTGTAAGATTTTTTTTTTTTATGTCTTTTTTGGTGTCCGGCAACGGATCGCACCCCTCAGTGTCGCGCCCGTCCCGGGCCAGGACCGGCAACGGGATCGCAACCCTCGGTGTTGCTCCCACACCTCGCTCAGCCAGTGAGCGGGAACCGGTCTGTATGTGGGATCCGAACCCTCGGCGGGAGCGCCGCCACGCTCTCAAGCGGCGCACTGTAGCAGTGCGCCACCGGGCCAGCCCCTAGAGCTTGTAAGATTCATCAAACTAAGTATGTTGTCTTGGAAGGATAACTAAAGTAGAGCTCTCAACTAAAATATTTCTGTTGGTTAAAAGATACTCTTGGTATAAGACTTTAATACTTACCAGCTTCTATTCCTGAACCTGTAAGTGTCTATCTACTGAAATATTTCATGTCTGTCTACATGAAATAGTTCAAAGATAAGTTGATGGTGAAATTATCAAGTATGTAGAAAGTTTCTTAGCTTTATGGAAACAATTGAAGCATATGGTATTTGTTCATGCAGCACACTTTGATTGAACACTCATTAAATGCCAGAAACTGGGCAAGCAGCAAGGACTTAGTAGAACAATAATTTCCCATAGAGGTTGATATAGTATTGGTACCTTCCTGGCAATACCCCAAAGGATTTTTTGGCTTTCATTAATCCTTTCTACTTATTCATCAATCAGTGCATCGGTGAACATATTGCTGAGCAGAGAGAGAATTTGCTTAGAGTGGTCAGATTTTTTATTGCTGATGTTGCTGTATAACTTCTCTACTGAAGGCCAAAAAGTGTATCAATCATTCATACATAATTATTATCAGTCCATAATACACTACAAAATAATGTCCTTTTTATGTGTGTGTATTTATAAATAACCCACCTACTTACAGAAAGGATATATAATGTATTTCAATAGTATAAATCACAAAAATGCACATGCCTAACATTGATAAATGCTGGGCCCTGTGCTAGAAATAGAGTATTCTAATGGGGGGGGTGGGGGCGTGTATGTACATGTCAAGAGGATAACTGTTATTTAAAATATTGTTCTTAAGTTTTTGGTTTTTGTTTTAGATATGTCATGAGCATATGTCTCTGTTATGATATCCTGGGTTTCCGTTTTCTCAATTTGTGGCCTATAGCCAAAAGTTCAAAATTCTAATAATGCTTCTCTTACCTCCCCCAACCCCCAAGGTGTTATCAGCATAGAACCTACTTAGCTAAAATAAATCCATTCACATTCCAGCATCTATTTCTAAAATGTAGTAAAATTGCTGTATAACATACAGGCTTCTGGGAGAATAAAACTTCCAAACCAGATTTTAAATTTTAAAAATACTTTGTTCTTAAGCTTGTAATTTCTCCCACTTTGTTGATCCTCTCTACTGTATCTTTGTTTCCCATCTCATTAATTTTTGCTTCTTATTTTGTTTTCTTTAGATTTTCTTTTATCTAAACTTCTTCAGTTGGATGCATAGCTCATTGAGTTTCAGCTTTCTTCTCTAACATAAGCTCATAAAGGGATACTTGCTGTATCCCACAAGATTCGAGATGTGTAGAATTTTTATTATCAGTAAGTTCTAAGTATTTTTTAATTATGATTTCTTTTTTAACCATTAATTGTTTAGTAGTGTGTTTTTAATTTCCAAATATTAGGGATATTCATTTTTATTGTTATTGACTTTAACCTAATGAATTGCAGCTGCAGATAGTGGTCTGAATAAAAATGGTTAAGACTTGCTTTGTGGCCTACTGTTTAGTCCATTTTTCTATTTGTGCTTGCGAAGAATATGCATTCCCGAATTGCTGGGTGCAAAATTTAAAATAGAGTATCTTGACTATTTTGTTTTATCTTTTCGTTATCAATAGTTGAGGAAGGTCTGTAAATTCTCTGGTGGTAGATTTGTCAATTGCTCCCTATAGTTCTGTCAATTTTGCTTTATATGATTTAAGGCTGTTTTATTAGAGGCCTGAATGTTTAGATCCTCTGTATCTCTAGTGTTTTTTGTCTTAAAGTCTGTTACCCAGCTGGCCAGTTAGCTCAGTTGGTTAGAGCACAGTGGGGTCCTCGTATGATCCAGCCACCAAAAAAAAGTCTGTATTACTGATATTAATATAGGCACACTAGCTGTTTTGGTTAGGATTTGCTTAGCATTTCTCCCCACCTTCCGTATGTTTACTGTCAACCTGTGTCTATGTTTTTAGATTTTTTTTCTTTTTTTGTACTCAGCAAGTGGCTTGGTGGTTTTGGTTTTGTTTTTTAAACCCAGCTACTGGATTTAAATGGGCAGTCTGTCAGTCCATTTATGGTTATTGTGGTCATTGACATGTTAGGATTTGTTTCTCCCACCTTACCTTTTGCTGCTTTTTGGGTTTTTTATGTCTTTTTTCCTCTCCTCTCCCTCACCATACCCCCACCCCTTTTTTTTTAATTGATTTTCTTTTTCCATTTTACCTCCACTGTTAGTTGGAAGTTGTATATTTTATTTCTGTTATTTAATTGAGTCGCTTTGATTTTTTTTTGGTGGTTAACCTGTATGAAGATCTGAACCCTTGACCTTGGTGTTATCAGCACCACGCTCTAACGGATTGAGCTAACTGTCCAGACCACCCACTGAAATTTTATTGTCCATCCTTAACTAAACAAAATGTAAAAGTAATATAAACACTTTTCTAAGTCATACAGGGTCATAGAACACTTAAACCCTACAAATACTGTGTTGTTATCTAGTGTTTTTGTTCAGTCCTTTTTTTTCCTGGAACGCTTCATGAATTTGCATGTCATCCTTGCACAGGGACCATGCTAATCTTCTCTGTATCGTTCCAATTTTAGTAGCCATGCTGCTGAAGTGAACACTTTATTTTTTCCTGTCCTTTTTAATTTTTTTATTTATTTTATTTTTTTTAAAGATGACCGGTAAGGGGATCTTAACCCTTGACTTGGTGTTGTCAGCACCACGCTCACCCAGTGAGCAACCGGCCATCCCTGTGGGGATGGTGTTATCTGAACACCGTGGCCTTGGTGTTATCAGCACCGTACTCTCCCGAGTGAGCCACGGGCCGGCCCTTCCTGTCCTTTTTTAAAACCCACATAATAAAGACATAAAAATTAGAGTGTTAACTTGTTTGTCAGTATATATGTATGTGTATGTATATATACACACACCAGTTTCTTTGCTGTTTCCTTCTATATCTCAAACCTGTTTTGGGATTTCTTTTCATTCTAGGTGAAGTAAATGTTTAGGAATTCCTTCAATGTCCAGAAACATTCAGTCACACCTGACTTGCTTATTTTACCCAATTTTATTAGTGTCCTGTCAGCAGACAGGAACAGAAACCACTTTGCATGTTTCAAACAGAAAAGAATGTGATTTAGTGAATTAGGTTATAAATTATTAGAAGGGATAGAGGAACAAAAGAGGGGAAGGTGCTGTTTCCTGATGGAAGGGATTGCAGAAGGCCTTTGACTTTGCAAGAGTGAGTACTATTTTGAGCCCACCATCTCCTACCTCCACTGCCATGTAGCTGCTGCAAGAACCCATGAATATCTGCTGGATGCTCATAGGGAGTAATGTTGTCTGCCATTGTTGGCTTTTAATCTGGTGTGGATGTCACTAACAACCTTATACATAGGAGCTCAGTAACTGTCAGAATGTTAGTGAATGTCTGAGCATTTGAACCTGCTTATCAGTAAGGTCCTAGAACTGCTGCATCTTCAGAAGTTAAGAATGTTTCTGTATGATTCATGAAAAGTTTGTGGAAATCTTGATGGTGTTTACCACATTAAAATGTAGCTTCAGGGCCGGCCGGTGGTGCACTGCTACAGTGTGCCGCTTGGGAGCGCGGCGGCGCTCCCACCAAGGGTTCGGATCCCGCATGCAGACCGGTTCCCGCTCACTGGCTGAGCGAGGTGTGGGAGCAACACCGAGGGTTGCGATCCCGTTGCCGGTCCCGGTCCGGTACGGGCGCGACACTGAGGGTTGCGATCCGTTGCCGGACACGAAAAAAAAAAAGACAAAAATAAATAAATAAATAAAATGTAGCTTCAGAGGTATTATCTTTTCCCCTTTTGGTGTTAAATACAACTGAAATTCTAAATCTAGCAAGGAAGTTGCAACTAGCGGGGACTTGCCATTGTGCTGTGTTTGGTAGGAAAGTTTAAGAATTAGTTCATTTTCCTAGGACACATTATAAATCCATTCTAAATCTAAATGACATTTTCAGCTGTAGGTGCTGTTTTGCGCAAAACATTTTTTTTTTTTGGCAGCTGGGTGGTAAGGGGAACCGAACCCTTGACCTTGGTGTTACAAGGCCATACTGTTACCAACTTAGCTAACTGGCCAGTCCTTGCCCAAAACATTCCTTAAGAGTAAGCTACTTTAATTTAATTGAGCATGCTTAGTGTTATATATAAATGTATTTCTTACTAAGAAAATAAGAGAATGCCAGAATTGAGCACCACTTTTTTCCCCTTATGTATCAAAATGGAAGAAACCTGCAGAAACAGTGGAAACTAGGGAAAGTTGCTACCCACATACCAAAAATTTCATAGACTCAGAAAACTCATTTCAAACCAAAGAAGAAAGTGGAGAGCTCTCATTTTCTAGGCCAAAGAAAGCTGAATGGTTTTAGGGAATTATAGGACTTCATTAACACCTTTTAATTTTTTTTTTCTTTTAATTTTATTTTGTCGATATACAGTGTGGTTGATTATTGTGGCCCATTACCGAAACCTCCCTCCTTCCTCCCTCTCCCCCCTCCCACCCAACAGTTTCCTTTCTGTATGCTTGTCGTGTCAAACACCCTTTAATTTGAAGGTGTGGGACTGAAGGGCAGCGATTGGGTTATGATCCTTCTCAACCAGTATCATTTAAAACCAACTGTACAGGGAAATCCAAGAGTAGTTTCCTGCTCCCAATTCCACTTATAGGTGGTAGCACTAGGAACACCACTGGGCTACAGTAGATGTGTGCGGTGAAGGCTGAGCCACAGAAAAGCTGTGCAGTGATCCAGCCTACCTTCCTACACTAAACTGGTAATCTTAAATTTGTATTATTTCTCTGGCTTTTGTGATGAGTGCAGTGTAGTGTCATATCTTATAGGGGACTTAGATTCTATAGTTAGTAAGGCAAAAATCACAGTAACTAAAATCGCCGTTGGAAAAAAATACTTAAAAAGGCATAATCATATTGAAGACTGCCCCATCAATTCTCCATAGGTCACTTAGTCGCTTTTTTGTCCATGTTTGAACATAAGGCTCAGGTGATTCTTCAGTTCAGTGCCAGGTGAGGTAACAGACTTGTGTTGTAGGGGCTGAGTTTTTAATTTCAATGATGCTTGCACTCCGAAAGATACCCAAGGATAGAGACTAACGTGGGAACAACAGGTGTGTATAACATATCTCACACTTGACCTCTCTCTGAGGCATACCATTCTTAAATGGAATGACTGACAGAATCACCACTACTATTTGAAGTCTCTACTTCAGGCTGAGCGCACATAATTGAATTTTGTGTATACCAAGTGAGTGAATGCTGTGACCACTGTAGAGAATGAAAATCAGATGTATGAAACTGCAGCATAAAAGAGGAAAATAGAACACTTGAAGAGGAAAGGGAGCATACATATATACAGAGGCCCCATAGAAAACAAAGTATATTTGACAGCAACCGCTTTTTTCTCAAAAATCCTCCAAGACCTAAAAGAAGGTCTGGCCAATTAGCTCAGTTGGGTAGAGTGTGGTGCTGATAACACCAAGGTCCAGGGTACGATCCCTGTACTGGCCAGCCGCCAAGAAAGGATAAAAAGGAGAACACATAATAGCACGAGGAAGCTGATAAGATGAAGGAAGTAGCAACACTAAAGTGAATAAAACTGATTATGAAACATGTATGAATATAATTTTGAGGGAAATATATGCAGAGATTTTTATGACTTTTTTTCAGTTCCTAGATGATTTACTTTCTATACAAGAACAGTAGGTTTGACATTATGAATTTAACCTTACCATTTTTTCATTATTCATAAATAACCTGGAAGAATCAAGACAGGCCAGAGATATGTCATTTTGCTGATCTGGTGTGTATAAATAAGTCCATTAGCTAGAAAGTGTGCCTTGCTGGCTGTCCATCTTACCCATCTCAGGATAGCTTTGTATTTCTTGATTTCATTTTTCTATAGTATTTGCCATAAAGTGATTGATAAGCACTGCTTTCCTATAAAATACAGCAGTTTGAAAGAAAGTAGACTAAAGATTGGTGTTAAAAGTGAATAGGCTTAACATATATTTTTCTTTTTGGCAGCTGGCTGGTAAGGGGATCCAAACCCTTGACCTTGGTATTACCAGCACCGTGCTCTCCCAAGTGAGCTAACCTGTCAATCCCAGCTTAACATATTTTTTTTTCTTGGCAGCTGGCCAGTACAGGGATCAAACCCTAGACCTTGGTGTTTATAGGACCACACTAAAAATAACTGAGGTAACCAGCCCCTGCTTAACATATTGACAGTCCTACCAGAAAACAGGTTTTTGATACATCAAAGAATGTGATATTTGGCATGAACAGTTTGTCATTTTAAACATGAGGGAGGTTAAGCAGTAATATACACAGATGTGAGGACTGACTAAGATGATGTTTCTCTCCTTCACAAATAACCAGGGTCTTCAGGTATTAACTTATTGGAGGAAAATGTGCTGGTAATTAGGCTGCTGTTAATTTCTAGTAAAGAATCTAAGCTTCATATCATATATAATTTTGGATAAATAGTACATCAGAAAGATCTTTTATATTTTAACAGTGTTAGTATAATTCTCTAAATATAGGCAAAGAGCTGAAGAGTTCCATAGAAGGTGAGTAACTAAAAATGTATTATACATGACCGGAAAGTAATGGCAAGCAAGACTTCAGAGCTGAGCTATCTTGATATTTTTATCCAGTGTGTGGGGTGTTACACATGCATCACAGCTATAATAGAGCTATCACATGGATCATTTGAAAAACAAGATAGAGATGTTTTAAAGGATTCTGTGCTGGATTTTTTAGGTGCCGTGTTACTTGGCATTCAACAACTAAAGTCAGAATTGAGATATTAAAAAGTGAATTATTTTAAATAACTGACTTGTAATAGAGAAGTAATTTATTTAAAATTATTTTAGGAAATGGAAGATAAAGTGACTAGTCCAGAGAAAGCTGAAGAAGCAAAATTAAAAGCAAGGTATCCTCATCTGGGACAAAAGCCTGGAGGTTCAGATTTCTTAAGGAAACGATTACAGAAAGGGGTAAGTTCTCATGTGCAATTTTCAATGCTTAGGCCCTATGAACTCAGTTTACCAACAGAGATTGTGAAATGAGTGTTTGCGTATATAGCTCTGTACTTTATCAGATATATGTGTGTATGTGTATATGATTTTTTTCAATATTTTGGTGTTCATTATATAAATATGTATAAGAACTGCAACTCTTTAACATTTTTAAATTATAAACTATTTCAAGCATGTAGAATAGTGCAGATAATAGAACAGAACCCATATACCCACCACCCAGTTTTAATGTTAATATTTTGCCATAAGTACTTCAATTTTATCTTTGTAAGAAAGAAAATGTTGTGAATACAGTTGAAAGCTACCCTGTGTGTGTGTAAGTATAACCCCTGCTTTCCTTCTCTTCAAAATCAACCACTATCCAGAAGGTGGTATTTATCCTTCTGCCCATATTTTTAAACTTTTACCTCTTTTAAAGGTGATTCCCTCACAATATCCAAAGGCTTAAAACACTTTCGATATTTAGATGAAGTGATCACTTACAAGCATAGCTTACTATCCCCTTTACATAATACATTTCACAGTCATAGTGACTCTAATACAAATAATACATTGTAGTTTTACAGATTACTGAAAACATTTTTTCAAAATCTTACCATGCTTTGTGAGGTAGAAACCATTATTGATCCAAACTGAGATAATGCTACATGTTTATTTCTTAAGTTTCCTCTTCTAAAGTCTTCCTTTGTTCTGTAAAAACAAAAAATTAGTAGAAGGCTCCATCTTCAGCTTAAGTGCATTTAAATTATTTACCATACGGGGAACAGGAATGGATGAAATACCATTTATGGAAGAGGATTGTTTATTAAATGAGATGCCAAATTTTGTTTCTTTTTAAATAAGTACCTTAAATATACAGTATCTGCTGCTTACTTACAAAAATGTCTCTCTGTGTGTTTATATTAGCTATAGTTAAATATGGATTGTTTTCCCAAATAAACCAATTTCCAAAATATTTTAATTTAATTTTTTTGGGGGGGGCATCTGGCCAGTGCAGGGATCTGAATGAACAAACTTTTTTTTTTTTTAATGTCAAAAAGTAGAATGATATTTTTAATCTTAGAAGAAGGAATAACATTCAGAGCTTTGAAGTAATAGTATGAGAAGGAAAAATTATACCAAATGTATAAAAATGTAAAACCTCTGTATCATGAGATGTAATCCAGTGGGGAAATTATTACAGAAATGATAGTTAATGTCTATAAGAGTACTTCAAAAATTCATGGAGAGATTCATATTATCTTAATTCTGCATCTACACAAACTTTCTGAATTACCATCATATAACACATAAAAGGGAACTTTCAAATATACAAGAAAAACATTCAGGTGCCCCCGAATAAAGAATTTTAACAGAGGAAATTTAATTATTAAACAGAAAAATGTTTATCCATGATAGAAATCAATGAAATGTAAATTACGTCATAGTATACATACAACTAAATTAGAAAAATATTCAAATAATACCTATTGGTGAGTTTGAAGTTGAGTGAAACTAATATGCTCTTTGTTGTGTTCAAACATTTAAAATTATTACTCTCATTTTGGAAATGAGTATAGGTCAAGATTTATAAAAATTTTTACGTTTTTTGAATAATCTCATGAATTAACCTAAGGGTATAAATCAATATAAGGAAATTGTCTTCAAATTTGAAGATATTCATTGTAGCTTTAACTATAATTAAAAGCAGTACCACTTTGAACAGCAGAGAAATGGTTAAATAAATTGTAATAAGTCAACAAAATAGAGTATTGTGTGATTATTTAAAAACATAATTATAAAGATCTTAACATAGGGGGATAAATAGAAAAAGCAGAATGAGAACTATATTCATTATGCATCTAGCTTTGCAGAATGTATGTGTACCAAGTCTGATTATAAAACGGTCCTATCAGGTGTGTTTTTAGTTATGAAATAAATTACATTATAATGTTCAACTATTTAATTATTTGAATTTGGCATTTGACTGATTGTTAGTGTTTAAGAAACCTTTTTTCCTTTCCTCCAGCATAACCTAGGGTAACAGGCTTTCTTCCATTATTGGGGCTGTTGTCATTAAAACTATAATCTTCCTCTAGTGTCAACTATTGATGACTTTTTAAGTATCTTCAAGTCAGAATTTATATATATTGTATCTTGGAGTTGGTGTGGTAAATGTAAATACTTGAAAATGAAGAAAATGCTAATTGAATTAAGAAATAATTATATAGACTTTGAGAAGCTCTTGAATGATTCTGTATTTTACCAGAATGTCAGTGAATATCTTCTTTTATATGAGTTGAGTATCCCTTATCTGAAATGTTTGGGGACCAGAAGTGATTGGGATTTCAGACTTTTTCGGATTTTGGAATATTTGCACAATACATATCTGTTGAGCATTCCTTATCCAAAAATCCGAAATCCAAAGTTTATGAACATTGCCCCTGAGCATTTTGAGTCAGTACTCAAAAATTTTTGGATTTTGGAGCTTTTCAGATTTCGGATTTTTGGATTAGGGAGCTCGTCCTGTATTAGGGAAAGTAAGTTCTGATTTTTTTTTTTTTTAAGTCTGGATCACAAGGTTCTGGGTTTTAGTTTTCTTCTGTCATAGTTAGCAAGCTTGGCAAGTTACTTTAACGTCTTTGAACAGTTTCTTCATCACTTGAGAGGGTTGGATTAGATAAGGTTTTATTATATTAGGTCCCTTTCTGTGTTGTACTCATTAATGCTGTTATGAGGTTAATGTTATATAATGTTATTAGGCTTTTAACAGTATGACCACGTACACAGCGACTTTGTAGACTGTCAGAGCTAGGGGGAATATCAGGAAGCAGTGTATTTGTGGAGTTTGTGTCCCAAGCAAACCGAGGATCCAGTTTTAAGAAACATGGGCTTTAAAGTTAAATATGATCACTCGGTGTCAGTGCAATTATAAATACTGTAAGTGTAGCCCCTAAATTTGGGTGGAAGGAAGCTTTTATAAGATTGTCATACAGATGATCCAGAATACATTTTGTTAATTTTTAAATATTTTCATTAAAAAACTCATAAAACTTAGTTTTTTTTTTTTTTTTTTTTTTTAAAAGATGACCGGTAAGGGGATCTCAACCCTTGACTTGGTGTTCTCAGCACCACGCTCAGCCAGTGAGTGAACCGGCCATCCATATATAGGATCCGAACCCGTGGCCTTGGTGTTATCAGCACCGCACTCTCCCGAGTGAGCCACAGGCCGGCCCAAAACTTAGAAATTTTTAAAGACAACTAATATCACCCTCTTAGGCTATATCTGTGGATCCCAGTGTGAGAAACATTGATCTAGTTCACTCCTCTACCTAAACCATTAACTTCTTTCTTTCACATCTTTGCTGTATCGTTGTCTGCTAAATCTCTACATGAGGATTGACTGCCTTTTATAGTAACCTGTTTCCTTTTAGGACATCTGTAATTGTCAAGCATTGATTTTAAGTTTTACCTCTAGCCACACTAAATAAATTTAATTCCTTTCCCCCAAGCACAGTAGCTTAATCTGCAGTTAAGTAAGATCCCCCTTATGAACTTCTGCTTACCATAAAATTGTTATCATTAGAAACTGAGTTTATTACATTTGGAAAAGTTTGCTTAAATTTTGCTCTATGTGTTAAATTTCTCACGTTGTACGTTTGACAAAGTAAGAAATCTGGCAGGCTGCTTTATTCTCCTCCAGAGGCTACTAAACTCAGAAGCAGCTCTTTAATATAATACAGTGCGTCAAAAGTTCTGAGATTTTCTGTTCTCTACACTCATTTAAAACACACAGAAATGAAGCTGTAGCAAGCCTTAGAAGGTCCTGGTCTAAGTTTCCTTGTTACTGCTCTGTACGATACATGTATAATGACACATGAAGAGCAATTTCTGACTTGAGAGCCTTTGGCCATAGGCCAGATTTGGCTTATTGAAGAACAGTCCCTGGAAGGAGGCAGCCAGTGAGACTGAGTTTCAGTCTTCTTCATTTTACCACATCAGGTATCCCTGAAGTCTCTGAGAGAATATTTATAGTTTTTCCTTTCACCCTTTGTCCAGGCCCTCATTTCATACCTAAATTATTTCCTTTCATCAGCCCCAAACTGTTAGATTCCCCTCCTTTGAGCATCCACAGCACTTTGTCTACTTAAGACAGTATTATAATAGTTGATTTACTTGACTGTTGTCCACCTTTGTTGGGAGCTGGACAGGTGAACACCACCTCTCCAGCTCTTACACAGTGCCTCATGTATAGCAAGAACTCGATAAAGGTGGGATAAACATGATAGCTATAAGACAGAACCTAGGCAAATTCATCTCTTTTTACTCAGAAACTCATGTAGATTGCTATATTAAGGTTGATCTTTAGCTCTGATTGCAATTTGAATTTTAATGATAAAAGGCAACTAAAAAAGAGCAATAGTTGAACTTAGTGTCTACGTGAAAAATGAAGAAGGTATAGAGTAAGGACGTGCATTTTAATTGATAATTAATTTCCAGTGAGTTTATTTCTTCCATTACTCTAGCATTTATATTTTTACCTTCATTTTAGTGAACTGCTCTGGTTCAAATAAATGATTTAAGTTCTTACAGAAATGTTCATCCTAGATGACAGAGTACTAGCAACTATAACTAATAGTTTTAATAACCACAAGGTTCATTGGAGTTGGTGGCACATCCTAAATGCAAGTTGGTGAATTAATGTGTTCATATTTTCAAAATCATTTAAGAAAGACTTTCTGCCTGGTTGTTCCATTAGTTGAATGAAAAGTTTTCATTTCACTCTGAGTCCAGCACTTTATTCCCAGATAGCTTGGTGTCAATCTTGAGGATTTTATATTAGAACCAGAACGGTCCCAGTAAGCCTGAAGAAGGAGTTCTTTCCTGGCTTCTCAGTTATTGACTTATCCTGGAACTCAATAAAGAAACATAGCTATTTCATCTAATTAATGTTCCTATTTAAATTTTTTAGACCAACTTATTAAAATGACAGTGTAGGGTCGCATCTACATTTTAAATCAGTGTAATTGCATATGGAAACTTTTAAACTCTAATGTGAAATTTCTTTTTTTTTAATTGTAGCAAAAATATTTTGATTCTGGGGATTACAACATGGCTAAAGCAAAAATGAAGAACAAGCAACTTCCTGCTGCAGCCCCAGATAAGACGGAGGTCACTGGTGACCACATTCCCACTCCACAGGACCTTCCTCAACGAAAACCATCCCTTGTTGCTAGCAAGCTGGCTGGCTGATTAAAAGAACTGAACTGCATGAATCTTCTAATTCCCATAATTTTTCCTTAATATGTTACTTATTCATTTTTTATTTTCTTTCATTCACTAAATCATTTGAGACTGACAGCTTTGCAGGTAGTGGTAGTGTGTGCTGCTATTGTAAGGGAATATACATGTGTAGAGTTTTGATTAGTTTAATAGTGCACTGATGAGAAGGACATGTTACAGCAACATAAGTAATCTACTTGAAAATAATTGTATATATTACCTAACTCCTAGTGTCGGACTGGTTTCAACAAGTAACAAGCAAGATTTACAATTTTAATGTTTTGGCTTTCCTTAAACTTCATCTTAATTATAGCTTTGTATGTTATTATTTAATATAACCTCTATTGTATTGATTTCTTCTGTATTTTCCTTTTGGATTTTGTAAAACAGAAGTTTAAGACCACAAGTTGGAAGAAAGATCATATATCTCAAACACAAATACATGGGCTCTGCAAGATTTGAATCTCTGTGCTTGAACTTGAATGGCCTTAAACCTGTTTCAGCTTTAACAGTAGAATTTTACTTGGGCAATATTTGCCCATTCTGGTGTAACTTACGTGATTCTAGTGCTTGACAGCTGCCATTGAAGCTAGAATTCTTATTCAGTTCTGTAGTGTTAGAATACCTTTTGTTGTTGAAGATGTGAATGAAGTATGCATGTGCATTGACTGTTGAATTCACTTTTGTGCCATTTTTGTAAATATAATAGTTTTGCACAACCTCACAAATGTCTGTATTAATTTCACATATTGAAAAATAATGTGCCAACCAGAAGCACAAGAGTTCCTACACAAAACTCTGTCATTACAGCTTTTATATAACAGTAGTAGTTTACAATCTTGGGCTTACCCTATACCAAACTAAAATCTTTGCTCAGTCTGCCGTAGACTCAAGCTTTTCATTTGTTACTAATGTCCATGATATTCAGTGGCCTTGTGCAAATACGATATGTTGCTTAGGCATATCTTTTCATCCTATGCAGGACATTTCATTTTGACTTTTATGAAAATTTCAATTCATATAATTTATATAAACTTTTTTAATGTAGAAACTTTTTACTTCCACACTCGACTTTGGGGACTCTGCCTTCTGTTCTCCAGCCTCTCCCCCACTCCGCCTTCTTTTTGTTTGATTTTTTTTTTTTTTTTTTTTTTTTTATTCAAATGGTATCGGGCTGTTTGGTCTATATGGAAGCATAGGAGTCTATATCGTTACTCTAAATTTGCTCTGCTGAATGCTGTATTTTATAATGCAATAATGGTGTTTTTCTTCTAATTTCTCAGTTAACCACTCTTAATCCTTTATAATTACTAATATTTGACAATTGTTTAAATAAAAGGAACTTAATAATGAAACAAATAGTTGATAAAACTGGCCCAGGGAAGCTGGCATGTTAGCTACCTGAGAGAGCATGGTACTGATATCACCAAGGTCAAGGGTTCGTATCCCCTTATTGGCCAGCTGCCAAAAAAAAAAAAAAAAAAAAAAGATTGGCCCAGTGACAAGATGTTAAGATGAGCCTGTGTCAAGATGAGCTGAATTCTGGTAAATAATTTTAAGTAATTATGAGCTCAGTGAATTAGGCTTATGACAATTAGAATAATTTACATGATGGGTAAAACTTATATGAAAATTTCGATATTTGCTTCTATAGATGTCACTTTAATAAAATCAATTTTATCTAGTTAGTAAGAACTTTAACAGACTTTATTGGGACAAATTTACTGCTTTTAAAGAATTTTTCCTACAAGTCGTAATGCTATAGCATGATAATGATCAATAGCCTGAGATGATACTATTTTTCTCTTCGTCTTTGACTTGCACAGAGCCTCCCCTCTTTTTGATTCAGGAATCCTTTCTGAATCTTGCTTCCATTTGTATACCTGCTTTCCTATGATCCCAAATCATAGTAGATGGTGCCTTGAACATAGCACCTGCACTTAAAGGCTGCCTAGCACTCTGAGGAAAGCTTGCTGATTACCTTCCTTCTCCACCCACCCCGAAAGACAGAAGAGCAACAAAATCAGTAATGTGTTCATTTGTAATTTTGAGGATTAGTTATATACAAATCTTTTTGTAATGAGGGCAAGTAGGCTATTCCACAATATGTATGCTCATTATAGGATTGATTTAAGAATTTTTTTTAAATCCCAAAGTAGAATATTATAGCTAGTCTTTTGTTTTTTTCCTGACTGTTTGCAAACTATCACCATTAAATTCATACATCAAAATTAATCTGAAAGATCAGAGACCATGTTATTCCTGACCATGATAGGACTCCTCCTGTAGTTTGGGATAAGTGACATAACACTTGCTTAAGTTTCAGTTTGTAAAATATAATGTTAATATTTAACCTACCTCAAAACTTGTTGAGGATTTGTGAAATGCTGAGGAAGTGCTCAAAATAAAATATTGTTGTCTTTTTTTAAAAAGTAAATTTCCTCATTTAAGCCAACCTGCCTTTTGTAAAGTCAGTGCTTAAAAATCTCAGGATTTTCCATTAGGAAAGACCTGTCATTAAGGATTTGTAGATATAATTGCTTAGCCTCCATTCTTGGTGCTTGGGATAGAGAGGTTTTAGATTTTGCCTCAAAGCTCAGTTTATTGAAAACGTTTTGCAGGCTGTTTGATCATTGCTTGAATAAAGATTTTAAGATCATTTAGATGAGCTTAATTGTCCATTTCTATGATTCCAAAGATGTGGTTTGAGAAATGGTTCATTTTAACCATCATCCAGTTCATCATAAATTAATGTTGGAGTAAAGCAAACTTGGGGATAAAAAATAACTTCATGAAAACTGGCTAAAGTAAAGTAAATTACCCATTTTGTGTCTACTAGCTCTTTTGATAGTATGGGTTTGAGAAACATTTCATTCTTGAGGGCTACATCTAACTATATTATAGTTCTTGGCAAGTAAGAATTGTTGGGTTATTTTTGACAGATTGAACGGAGCATGTTTGTAGTCTAAAAATTGTTCAATAATTTCACGCTGCTGACCTAAAAATATGTCTTAACTATTCTACAAGGCAAGCCTTATAAGGCCTCTACGTTTATTACTTGCAACAGTATAGTTGCTCTTTCTACTTCAGAAGAAGGAGAAGTGAGAAAAAAAGTGTACTACTTTCTGAAAGTTCTACTTCCAGAAATAGAAAGTGTACCTCTGAATATTTATGGATACTTTTTACTAAATCGGACTTATATTCTTTCTCAATCTAAATTAACGAAGTCATATCAAAGCTGAAATTAGTATCTTCTAAAATTGGTGTTTGGTGTTCAGGAGCAGTTAGCCTATGGGAAGAGCACTTCTGAGTAGTAACTAAAGCAGTTTCTTTGGTGGCCTTTTCACATTCCCCAACATTCAACATATTTTCTTCCACTTTTCATTTTCCTTCTTTTACCTCATTTTGCCTTCCTCTCCACGCACCCATCCCTGCAATTATTTAAGCCCACTTATGGCACCCATCAAATGGTGTTTAGGGCTGTGCCTCAATTTAGGACACATTTTTAATTCTCTAAAACATTGTCCTAATCTGGATGGCTAATTTGAGCCACTGTCCCAACTCAGCATGCACTGCCAGTCTCCCCCTTATCTCTTCTCCCCTGAATTCCCTACCACACCTTGTAAAATTGGGATCAAAGAAATCTTACTCTGATTGTTAATCTAAGCGTAAAAACACCAATTTTAATACTGTTTTGCTAGTTTCAGCCTTCTAAGCAGTTAGTCCTATAGGTTTTATTCTGCAAATCACTGGTGGTCATGATAGCCATTAATGTATGTTTATGTTATGTTATTTATCAACTAAATAGTTGGAAGAAAACATCTTATTCTTTTAATATTATGCCCTCAAATCTATTATTGCATCTCCAGCATTGTGGTGCAATAGGGACACTTCACCTATATTAAAAAGGGCCAAAAGTAAATGCCTTTTTTTGTTAAACATGTCTATAGAGTTGGCAGTTAATGCTGAAATTTGTCAAACAGCCCTTCCAAAATTATACTTGTGAAATATACAAAAATAATAATAAATTGATTTACCTAATTTCTATTAAAGTAATTTGTGGTTTTGTCTTCTTTAAGTGTTACATTGTTTTTCAGTATATTTTCTGAAGTGGATCCCTTTAGATTTCAGGTACTACTAGATGCAGAAAGAATTTGACTATTGTAGTCTTAGATTTTGTTTTAATTTAAATAATGTGTGTTATTGAAATTCTAGCAGTTTTAACTTTTTTATTTTTATTTTATTTTATTTTATTTATTTTTATTTTTCAAAAGATGACCGGTAAGGGGATCTTAACCCTTGACTTGGTGTTGTCATCACCACGCTCGCCCAGTGAGCGAACCGGCCATCCCTATGTGGGATCCGAACCCGTGGCCTTGGTGTTATCAGCACCGCACTCTCCCGAGTGAGCCACGGGCCGGTCCTTAACTTTTTTATATGTAAAGACTGTAATTAAGGTAAAATTAAATGTTTACAGATTGTGGGTCTTTTCCAACTCATATGAAATATTCTAGTACAGTGCTGTTGGATATAGAAAGATGGATGAGACAACAACTTATATTCTGAGAAATGAAACATGTGTATATCATTTAATACAAGGTAGAAAATATTACATTCTAAGAGAGGTAGAAATAAAATTCCAGGAAGTCTAGGGGAATGAATTATTCAACTTAAGGGTTAAATAGGATGAGTGGTAGATCAGGGAAAAGTTTTAGAGGTGACTGAGAGATTAGTTGCTGTAGGGATGGATGAGGGTAAAGGCAGGAAGAAGAGCATTTTAGGCAGAGGGAATGTTATTTTTAAAAAGGCAAGGAGTTGGGGAAAATGTAGACCTGTATAAGAAAGTTTGGTTGGAGAACATGGCATGTGCTATGGTTTGAATGTGTCTGCAAAGCTCATGTGTTGGAAACTTAATCCCCAATGCAACGGTGTTACAAGTCAGGACCTCTAAAAGGTGATTAGGTCATGAGGGCTCTGCCCTCATAAATGGATTAGTACCGTTATCTCAGGAGTAGGATCCTGATAAAAGCATGAGTTCAGCCCCTTTCCCTTGTCTATCTCTCCTGCGCTCTTCCTTTCCACCTAAATAGGATGGCACAGCAAGAAGGCTCTCACCAGATACTGGACTTCCCAGCCTCTAGAACCATGAGAAATAAGTCTGTTCTTTATAAATTACCCAGTCTCAGGTATTCTGTAATAGCACAACAAAACAGACTAACACCGCATGTGAAGGAACTCTTGATTTTTCTCCCTTAAATCTACTTTTTCCTCCAGTTTTTAAAACAATAAATGATACCACCATTCATTCACCCACTCAGGTACTCAAACCAACCTTGAAGTCATTGATTTCTCCCTTTAACAGGCAGTGACCAACATCCACCAAAATAAACAGAATTTGTCAGTTTCTCTCCACTGTTGGCACCATACCCAAAGCCACTAATATTTCTTACCCTGAACAACTTGTATAGCTCCTAACATTACTCCAGTCCTGCTTCCTCGTTCACATCCTGTGTGCCTTCCTCCCCCTTCCATTCTTAATGTAGTAGCCACAGTGATTTTTTAGAAAGATAAATTATATCATCTAACCTCTTAAACCCTTGAAGCTCGTTGCTGCCCCTATTCAACAGTTAAACACTTTTCCTACTTAATAGTTTGTCTAGCTCTTTTTCATTCTCAGCTCAACTTTTAACTTCCTTAGAGGAAGATCTTATTATTGTGTCCTTAGCACCCAGCAATGGCTTATACATACTCAAATACTCGTTGAATGAATTAAATAAAATGTAACATTGGGTTGAAAATGTAAGTGGGAAACCACATTAAGGACTTGGACGCAAGGAGATTTGGTTCTGGGTATATGCCCTGATATTCAATGTGTCTGTGAATAAGGACATGTCAAAGATGTTTGCTGTCATAAACCACACATCAATGAAATTGGTATACCTCATTTTCCACGGCAAGGACATGTTTAGTGTTCAGTGCTTCTCTGCTCTTTTTTGTGATCATAACCTTGTGAGCATTCTGTGTCTGATTTCCAAGGCTACTTCCTGCCCCATTACCAACAACCAAATAAGATAGGCTAATTAGCCCTTGTTTATCTCTTCTAAATCTATACAAGCTAATAGTTCTAATAACTTTGTAAGTGTGAGTTGCCAGTTGTTTGAATTATTGTAGAAATCATTTTAGAGCAGCTGTATTTTAATAGGATACAGACCTAAGGCAGAGACACCAAGGGGCAGCTTTCTGCCACCACAACTGTAAGTTATAGAACACTGACCTTATATATCTTCCTTGATTCTCAACTACTTTAATATCAATATTATGAGAAGTTGCAGTTACTACGAATGTGCTTGCTAAAAAAAAGACTAAAAATACTTTTTTTTTTAAATTGGCAGACAATTACTACTGATTGTAAGACATCTGACTTGACTACCTATATATAAATATATATATATGTTAGGTCTATGGCTCAAGTGTTGCCAACCAGGATAATTTAAGATGGCCTCATATATATATAAAATATCATACCTACCAAGCTTATATTCTCATATGTTTATATGTAAACTTTCACATTTTGTATCTCCTGGATATAGCGTTACAATATTGACAGCTGATTGCAATATATTGGAGTTCCCCTGGGAGATCAGTTCTACACGTGTCAGAAGTAAAGGGAGGAAAAAGTTTCAATGAAAGATAGCAGTGTGGAGTGTAACAGAGCAGTGAGAAGAGTGGGGCCTGAGGAAAGTTCAGTAGATTTGCAAGTCGGTATCACTGATCATTTGGAGAGCAATTTCAGTAGAGAAGGTGTGTATGGGCATTGGGGCAGAGAAATATAAGGAATAACAAGCAACTAAAGATAAATTAGTACTGAGGATACAGTTCTCTTGAGAGATTCTGTGGTATATATGACAGAAGGTTTTGGTTGAAAGAAGTTTTTTGTTTTGGTTTTGCTTTTAAATGTACGAAAAAATCTGAATATGGTTATAGTTATAGGCAAAACAGAAAGAATGAAAGAAAAACCAAAGATGCATTGTAGGCAAGATGGTAAGAGCTGCAATGGAGATCATCCTTGGCATGTCTTTCAAAGACTCAGCAGGTGAGTAACTAGAGGTCAGGGATGAAAAGGGACACTGAACGAACTTCATCCTTCCCATAGGAGAGAGGGTGGTGAGTCATTTTCCAGGAGGTATGAAGGGAAGAAGGAGATTTGAGAAGTGTGCTGATGGTTCAGAAGGATCTTTACAACTTTGTAAAAGCACACACGTTAACAAAGATCCAGAAAGGATCTCAGAATTTAAAAGTGGTTTCTATGGGATCATTGCTTAAATTCATAATTTTTTTAAATGAATGGAGCAAATGCCATGAAGTAGGGGACTCAACTAGGATAAAAAAAATGGAAAAGAATAGAACTGGAACTGGGTTCTAAATTAAATTTCTATTAGACTTCTTTTCCTGCTCCTTTCATCTTTTTAATCAAAATTATACTTGCCTGTGATATACAAGTAGACATACTTGTGAAGTCAAGTAGTATAGAAGGACGTAGTGAAAAGTCAAGAGTCAGAAAATACACCTCATTGCCACCAAGTTTAGCTCCCAAGAGGGAGAACTACTCAGAAGTTTCAAGCAACTTTGTGGTTTTTCTGGTGTTTGCCTCCATATCTCTCGGTATTTTATATAACTTTCTTGTTCTCTTAATTTAATTTTAGACATAAATTAATGGCTTTCCAGACTGATAGGGGAGGATTTAGCTCACAACACTTCCCGTTTCCTCTCTCCCACCTTCTTTCTAGTATCATAATATCACTACTTTTGATTCCTTGACAGGCTTCTTTTATAATGTTTAATAATATAGTTTCACCGTTATTTCTTATTCCATCAGCTACAGGCAGTGTTTCTTGGCTCTCTACTGTGTAAGATGGCAATATTAACACTCTTATACTTCCCTTTGACTCTCTTCCCTTCCCTCGATTTTTGTCATCTGATTTTACAATTACATTGTCAAGGCTGATAATATTTGCACTCTATTTTATAATCACAATTAGTAGCCCACTCAGCTTTATCTATAGTTTGATTTAGTTTGCTGCAGATCACAGTTTATACTACAATTACATTTCCATATGTAGTTTTTTGTTTTTTCTAGTGTTTCTAATTATTTTTCCCCTTGTACTTTTGGCCTCTTTCATACCCACAATTATTGTAATATCTTCTATCATATCAAGGATCTATAGAGTCTTCCTTTTGCTCTAGAAAACTCTCCACCAGAAGCCACTTCTCCCTTGCTTCAGTCTGAACTTTGTGCTTTCTTAAAGGCACAGTTGTCATCTTAGGACTTGACTGCTTTCCTGAACTGTTCCATTATTTAATGGGTTCCATGTATGGAAGCCATTGCTTTTGGCCTTCATCTTAGGTCAGGTTCCCTGGAAGAAGTGGAAGCTCTTTATTTTTTAAAAAAATTCTTTAGTTGACTGGTTAGCTCAGTTGGTTAGAGCACAGTGTTATAACACCAAGGTCAAGGGTTCAGATCCCTATACTGTCCAGCCACACACACACAAACACACATACACAAATTCTCTGATAGTTATATGCATATAAATATCTTTCCCCAATCTGTGGTGTGTGCTGTCTTAGCTGGTGATATCTGTTACACTCCTACTTATATTTTAGAACTTAAACATCACCTTTGTGAAATCTCAATATTCCCTTCCTCCACATCATGTTAATTGTTCCAGCCTCTGAGACACAACAAGCATTTCTACATAACACTGTTTTCGTACTTAATCGCAATGCATTGTAAGTAGCTTCATTCGATTAACCTCCCTTACAGAACAAGTATCTAATTATTTTGCCCTAGCAGTTATCCCAGTGCCTGGCCATATTAAGTACCCAATAAATATATTCTGAAAGAAACTGTACTCCTGAAATTAGAGCCATCACCGTTCACTCCTGCTATAACGGTCAGGGTTCTTAAATCATAAATACATAATTCTGGGTCATTTAAGCATAAAAGGGATTTATCAAAATCACTTAAAATTGTTGAAAGCTGGGAAACAAT